CCCTCTCCGAGCGTAAACCCATCTCCGCGTGTAAGTCCCTCTCCATCTCCGAGTCCCCAGGCCGCTGCTGCACCCCCCGACCCTCCCGCTGCCTGGCTAGAGGCCCCAGGGAGGACGATGCCAAGCCCCGAGCCGTTTACAGGTGAGCTGGAGAAATGTTCGGGTTTTCTTGCCCAAGTCTCCCTGTTTTTCCGCCAGCAGAACAGGACGTATGCCAGCGACGGTGCCTGGATTGCTTTCTTTGTTCAGCTGTTACGAGACCGCGCGCTCCAGTGGGCTCAGGCACTATTGAAAACCCTGCCGAATATCTCCTACCTCGACTTCCTGACTGAATTCAAAAGCGTGTTTGAAAGGGATGGCGGGCCCTCTGCTGCTGCACAGCGTCTACTAAATCTGAAACAAGGTAAACGCACTATGGCTGACTTCTCAGTTGACTTCCGCATTCTCGCTGTAGAAACCGGGTGGAGAGAAGAGGCAGTAAAGGAGGTTCTGCTCAACAATATTGCGGAGGATTTGAAGGATGAGCTCATGACGAGGGAATTACCATCATCTCTCAGCTCATTAATGTCCCTGTGCATTCATGTTGACGAGCGCCTGCGAATGCGCCGTGGGACGTGACACTCAGTTTCCCAGAGTGCTCCCAGTGTTGGGATTTTTGCCGGTAGTGCTGCTTCACCACAACAGCCGGCCTCGATGGATGTGAGCCCCGGCGAGGCGGAGCCGATGCACATTGGACGTGCCCGGCTTACACCAACGGAAACGCAGCGCCGTTTCATGGCTGGTGAGTGTTTATACTGCGGCCGTCACGGACATTTCATCGCCGTTTGCCCCGCACGAGCAAAAGGGCGTGCCCGCCAGTAGAAACGGGGTACTGGTGGGCGAAATAAACATCTCTCATTCCCCTCCTCATCTTTTGTTACCAGCTAAGCTCACTGCTCACACCACTACTCACTCACTCAAGGCTTTGATAGACACAACCTAAAATCTTCAACCTTGTCATCAAACACCGTCCCGCCCTGCCTCAAAACCTCCACCATCATCCCCATCGCCAAGAAGACAGCTGTGGTCAGCCCAAATGACTACAGGCCTGTTGCACTTACGCCTGTAGTGATGAAGTGTTTTGAGAGACTGGTCTGTCAGCACATCAGGGCCGGTCTGCCTCCCACGCTGGACCCCCACCAATTTGCCTACAGGACAAATCGATCCACCGAGGACGCTATCACCATAGCGCTCCACACTGCGCTGAGTCACCTGGAGCACCGAGGAAGCTATGTGAGAATGCTCTTTCTGGACTTCAGCTCAGCATTCAATCATATCATCCTGGTCTAGAAACTGTCTCACCTGGGACTCTCCACCCCCATCTGCCTCTGGATCAAGGTCTTCCTGACAAATAGACCACAGTCTGTCAGACTCGGCCCCCACCTGTCCAGCACCATCACACTCAGCACCGGGTCTCCACAAGGATGTGTTTTGAGTCCCCCTCCTGTTTACGCTCTACACATCCGACTGCTCCCCTACCCATCTCTCAAACACCATCATAAAGTTCGCGGATGACACCACAGTGGTTGGACTCATCTCAAGGGGGGATGAGTCGGACTACAGAGATGAGGTCAACAGACTGACTGAGTGGTGTTCAGTTAACAACCTCCAACTGAACACCACAAAAACTAAAGAACTTATCTTGGACTTCAGGAAGGGCAGAGCAGACCCGGCCCCACTTTACATTCACGGGAGCTGTGTGGAGAGGGTACACTCCATGAGGTTTCTGGGCGTGCAGATATCTGATGACCTCTCCTGGACTGCAAATACTACGGCGGTGGTTAAAAAGGCCCAGCAGCGTCTCCACTTTCTGAGAGTGCTCAGGAGGAACAACCTGGAGGAGAGGCTGCTGGTGACATTTTACAGAGCCACCATAGAGAGCATCCTAACGTACGGCATAACAACATGGTATGCAGGGTGCTCAGCTGCAGACAGGAAAGTACTGCAGAGGGTCATCAACACAGCCCAGAAGATCACTGGCTGCTCTCTGCCCAGCCTGGAGGTCACTGCAAACTCTCGGTACCTCAGCAGAGCTGGCAATATCATCAAGGACCACTCTCACCCCAGCAACCAACTGTTTGAACTATTACCATCAGGCCGACGGTACAGGTCACATAAAACCAGGACAAACAGATTCAGGGATAGCTTCTTTCCCAGAGCTATCACCGTAGTAAATAAGCACAAAAACAATTGAACCTATTCCATACCGTCACTGTCATTATATTATGCTGCTATCCTGTATATATTGTACATACTATTGTTTGAGTACTTACGATTGTGGGTTTTTTTTTTTTTTTTGTACTTTTTATTTTTATTTTACATTTATATTTATTATTGAAACTTGCACCAAGGGAGTGGCACTCCAATTTAGTTGTACTCTGTACAATGACAATAAAGGCTATTCTATTCTATTCTATTCTATTCATCTTCTCCAGGTCAGTGTCAGAGCACGAAAGACATGTCAAACTGGTGTTACAAAGATTGCTGCAAAACCGCCTTTTTGTCAAAGCAGAGAAGTGTGAGTTTCATGTAACCACTGTTTCTTTCCTTGGATTCATAATTGAGCAGGGGAACTTGAGACCGGATCCTGGAAAGGTCAAAGCGGTTTTGGAGTGGCCCACACCCCCAAACCGCAAACAGCTTCAACGTTTTTTGGGGTTTGCAAATCTGTGACAATTTTCCCCTTGTTTTTTCTCTGTTCTGTAAATCTTCTGTCTAAGAAGAAATCTGAGGCTGCTGTTCTGAGAATGAGCTACCAAAGCTTTTTATGAATAAATCAATAAAGATCCATTTATGGAAAGCTGTGGTGAAGGCAGTTTTGTCTTTAATTATATTCAACAATATAACATTTGACCACTTTTAAGTGATTATTCTAACTTTCTAACACTAAAGTTAAGGTTATATACCTAATTTCTATTAAGTGGCCCAGCCCCTCCTATATTTTTATGTATGTGGCCCTCAGTGAAAAAAAGTTTGGACACCCCTGATGTAGCCATAAGAAAGTCAGACATTGGTGTGTGAGTGAGAAGTTACTCTCTATTTACATTGTAAGTAATTATAAATATTATTTTTAATTTCTTGTTCTGATGCAAAGGCTGAATAACTAACAACAAATAATAAATTAAAAAAGCAGGACCAAAGTATCAGCATCTGCTTTGGCAGAAAATGGATGGTGGCCTATCTCAGACTTTCTCCAGCCACCCTCTGAGAGATGTAATCTCTACAGTATGTCTTTGGTCTTACCTGTGGTCTACTCCCAGTTGGACATGCTAAAATAAAAATCACATAAGAGGTATCTTGGTCTCTTTACCACAACAGACTGGTACAGTAACCAGTCTGTCAATATCTCACTGCGCTCTCCTCTCACTCATGAACAGACCTGAGATACTTCTCACTCACAACTTGAAGAGACACTGCACTCTTTTCCAGTTGAAAACAATGAATTCAGAGTTGGAGGTGCTGATTCGTAACTCAACAACTTTACAGTCAGCTGCTACCATCCCAGTACATCGACCCAGTGGAAGTCGTTGTTTGTTGAAGACAGCAGACCTACATCCTCCACAAAACGCAAAGATAAGAATCTGAAAATGTGACACCCTCCATACCTTGACTGTTCACTGTCTACCAGGAACAAATAGGCCTTATAGCAAGCGATGGAGATGAAGCTTTCATTGCAGTTGTACAGAGACCAAAGCTTACAACAGCAAGCCAGATACCCAATGGTCCTGCAGGAACCCCTGAATCTGAGGTTCAACTAACCGATGACTTGCCATCAATTTCAGCCAAATTGTTTATTCAAATCTAGGTATTGGTCCACAGCTGATGCATCTGTGAAAGTAGGGTCTATATGCAAAACATTTCTACATTACATCACTGTAATGATGTTTATATACCAAAAGATGAGGTTCTGATTTTGAATGAATATTTTAATCTGCAAAGTAGCTATTTAACAGATGTAAAGGAGAAAAAAAAGGTAAATAAAGAATCTAAGTAGATTGGATTAAATCGTGTCATTCATTATATAACAATCAAATGCTGAGTCAAAGCTTCTAATAGGTGTTAGACTATGATGTATTATTCTAGGTTGAGTAATTTCTAGGACACAGTGCCAGGACACACTCTGACCTGGAGAAATATCCCGATAAGAGCATTTGTAAAGTTGTAAACTGATTTAGATTACATCTGTTACTTTACATTACACGCAGGTGGAGGTGATAAACAGGATGTGTTGGACTTTTTATAGTGTACAAAGTCAAAATGTGTTTCAGCTGGATTATGATGATTAGTGCTGCAATGATTTAATTAGCACCCAATGCTGTAATCAACTGTAAACAATTATTGTTTCTAAACCAAAAAGATCCAAATGTTTGCTGTTAGTCAAAGTCATGCCTCTTAGTAAACTGTAAAAGTGAAATATATATTTCTAGCTATAAAGCTAGACATAACTATTGAACAACACAGCAATTTACAGTTCATATTTAGATAATGAGAATTCTTATCACTGGCTTACAGATTATCAATCAGACCTGAGCTTAAAGATTCATCCAGCTACAATGCAAAAGAAAAATTGGCAATAAGACAGTTTAGAGATGCAGTGATAGTATAAAACATTCAAATAAGTTTGGATTTTTAAATTAAAAAAAATATGTTGTTTCAATTGAATTTTGTGTAAAAACAAAAAAGTGACAGAGCCTATAGATCAAATTAAATAAAAATGTAAAATATAGTTAAAAATTATGTTTTAGTTCTTTTGATTTGTCTGATTTGATGAATGTAATGTAGCTGTGGACAACATAAGCCCAGTTATTAACATCTAAATGGTGCTTGAAGTAAGCCAACAGGCAGACTTTTATTATGAAAAGCCCAGTAAAGTCCATTCCAGCTTACTTACATAATCAGCTGCACTTATGTTTCCTGAAGCCTGCAAGTATCACGTAGTCAGCTGCTGTCTGTGTTTTCAATCAGAGGTGGGACTCAATCGGAGCAGTGCACTCTGGGAGGCTTGTAGCTCAGGAAGAAAAGCATGCAGTCAATTATTTCAAGAAATGGATGTGAAACTCCAGAGCCAGTGAAAACCGAAGTGAAAGGTGAGTTTGAACCATTAAAGAGTTTGTAAAATGTTGAGTCTGTTGGTTTAAAGAGTCATTAATAAATTCAGCTTGCTCTTTTGGAAGGTTTCCACCTGAACAAACAAAAAGAAAACACACAGCTCAAAAGGTTAGAATAGGCTTAAATAGACTGTCTGCTGACATTACCAACATATTCTATTGCAGCAAGTAGAATGTGACACCGATAAATGCATAGCAAACAGGGAGCAGTGCCAAACTCTGAAGACTTGAACCTCCACTTGTTGCAAGTGTAGGTTTAAGTCTCTGTAGAATAAAGTATTTTCTAGCATCTGCCTCCAGAGTTATAATGTTCATTTGTTGTTATGTTTTGTTTATGTTAAATTAGAAACTTTGCAGCTTTTATTGGTCATATAGAGGAAATCCTGAGTAGATGTTTGTTGTATGTGCTTTGCATGTGTCAGACTGAATGGATGACTCAAGTCATAAGCTCTGTATTTATTATTATTATTATTATTATTATTATTATTATTATTATTATTATTATTATTTACCTGTTGTGTGGCACTGGAGTTGCTGACCATTTAATGATTCTAATCATGGAGTAGTTTATTAGTAGTTACATTTCATTATCCTCCAAAATTACCTCACAGTGAAAATTCTTCAATACAAATGTTCCTTTATATCAATACCTTAACCAGAACCATTTTCCCATTTTATATATAAGAATCATGACTGTGGTATCTTTAAAACATGGATTTATGGAGATATTTAAAGGACACATGGGGCTTTAATTTTGCATAAATTAATTTCTGGTGGATCTGACTTTGCTTCAGTTATCACTGAAATTAGGATTGTGGCCCTCTATCACTTATTTTTACTGAGCTCTTCAGGTTAACAGTTCTTTCTTAGCCTAACATCCATTAAAATTTCAAGTTAGGAGTTTACAACCTTTTGATCACTTCACAGTAATCCAAACCCCAAATGTGTAGTAAGATAAAAAAGTTCCACAACTCCACAATGGACCTTTTGGTTAGATTGCTGTCACAAAGCTTCTGTGTTAAGAATGGATTTAAAGCCCATTAACAGTGGTGTTTGTAACCTTTGACCTGCAGGATCTGTCCCTTCCTGGCTGCAGGGCACCCTGCTGAGGAACGGGCCTGGGCTTTTCTCTGTAGGTAACTCTGAGTACAACCACTGGTTTGACGGCTTGTCGCTCATCCACAGCTTCACCTTCAGCAATGGTCAGACTTTGATAAACCTTCAGCATCATTTAACTGTTGACTGTCAGTTGTCCATGTAACTGCTGAATATGTTCAATGTTCTGATATTGCTATTTCAGGTGAGGTGACTTACAGAAGTAAGTTTCTGAAGAGCGACACCTATAAGAGGAACATCAAGGCAAACAAGATTGTTGTCTCTGAGTTTGGCACCATGATCTACCCTGATCCTTGCAAAAACATCTTCTCCAGGTAAAGCCCATCCAGATCATGATCTTACAGAATATATAATACTCAGATTTCAGATCTTTCTAGTTTCAGTCCAGAACAGACTTAAAAAGCTCAAGTTCAGCCCATTCAGCTTTTGTCCACTCTAGCTTTCTATGTTTAGTAGACATAAGAGATTTTAAATCTGGAACCGAATAGTGTAGTACATCTAAAGTCTCTGCTTCAATTTATCATGGATGGATATCACAGTTCTGTGTTAGTTTACCTAGCATACAACAAGAGCTAAATGGATGGATGGACTGATGGACGGATGGATGAAAATAGAAATCTGAATCAAACCTTACAAGTCTTGTGTTATTGGTCCATTTGGGGTTTGATGATTTCAGATATGTACAGACCACTTTAAGTAAACTGGGACAGACTAACCAAGACACTTGAGGTTTTTCTGATGTTTATTTTTTTTAATCAGAATATCTGCTTCAATTCATCAGTTCATGAAAGTGCAAAATGCAATTCTCTGGGTTAGTAAGAGGTTTACTTGCATAACCATTACCTAAAGACGTTTGGTTGATTGGATATTTGTTTTCTTAGGAATGTATACCAATACTGAATTATTTCAGCTGTGTGCCCCAAAAAACCCTTCCACGCTCTCTCACCAGGGCATTCACACACCTCCAGAATGTCATTTCTGACTTTACTGACAACAACTTGATCAACATAATTCGTTATGGTCAGGACTACTACGCTTCCTCCGAGGTCAACTACATAAATCAGATTGACCCTAACACCCTGGAAACTATCGGCAGGGTAAGTTAGTCTGCACATTCTGCCTGGGAACATTTTAAAAAGGTTCAGGTTTTCGTTAAATGGTCCACTGTTGAATACCCAAAGGTAAAGAGTAACTATATGAGTTTCGTTTAGCACCACAGTTGGATATAATGGCAACAAGCATCTCTGTGAAAGATTTGTCCTTCCTCAAATGTACTGCCCTGTATTAATTTCAGAAAAACTACAGGAACCACATTGCCTTGAACCTAGCAACGGCTCATCCACACTACGATGAGGAGGGCAATACGTACAATATGGGGACTGCTATTATTGGTTTTGGCCAGCCAAAATATATGATCTTCAAAGTCCCAGCTGATGCCTCAGGTGTCTGCAGTAATTCATTCTGTCCTGTTTATTTCTGTTCCTAAACTTTAAATCCTCAAGATAAATTATTTAGCAGTAATTAGATATCATTCTGAGAATATAGTAAACCTACGCACAGCAGTAAAGTTACTTATTTGCCATTGTGTGCTCCATGAGCCACGTATTCATTTGATTACAACTTAGGTTTAATTGATTTATGACACCACAATCAGACCTCTCAAAGAAGACAGTTGATATGAACTGTTACACTATCATTTACAAAGTGTGTGTCACAGTAGCTCACTTTATTTTCATTTGCTTCATTTACTTTCATTTACTTCATTAATGATTTTTAAATTATTGGTTCTCCCTTTTTAAAATCAAGAAATGAAGACAAGTGAACAGAGTAACAAGCAATTAAAGTGAAGCTTACAACACTGTGTTGACTGTTTCAGATAAAAATCACAAAAAGTCAGCGCTGAGGAAAGTGCAGCAGATCTGTTCAGTCCCTTTTCGCTCCTCACTTTTTCCAAGCTACTTCCACAGCTTTGGCATGACTGAGAACTACATTGTGTTTGTGGAGCAACCTTTCAAACTGGATATTGTCAAACTTGCCACTGCCTACTTCAGGGGGGTCAACTGGGGAGGCTGCCTCAAATTTGATCAAGATGATATGGTAAGTCTTCCACATTTTTATCAACTCCTAATAGTGAAATTATATATAAGTTGTCATTTAAGCTATTAAGAAAAAATCTACTCAGAGAAAAACAATGTTCCCTCTAATTTTTCATGTGTCTAAACGAACACACTAACTCCCTGAGCGGTCCCTTGGACCACTGTGAGCAACAGCAGACGTGTGCACTGTGGTCACACATGGTTTATTAAAATAATTACGGTACGATCTTGTCACTGAAGTGGACGCGCAACGGGACATCATAGCGTGGCTCAAGCATGTTCATCATAGTTTAAACCCCTTGTTTTGCACAAGGGAATATGACCTCCCGTCTGCAGCTAAACACCCCAGTAGCTTTTGTAATAGCTTTAGCCTGGTCGGATTGGGCAGCAAAGGGCTGCTTAAATGCCGCAAACTCCTCTGCTCCTCCACCTGGACCGCTAGCACTGATCATAACTATGGCTTGACAGACTGACCACCCACACCATACACATACTTTTTTTCCTTCTTTTTCGAATCTTCATATCACGTGCGTGTCGAACCGTGGAGTGGGATCGGTTCGGATTATGGATCAACCGTGATCCGTTACACCACTAGTTAGAAATAACTTGAACTCCAATTTTGAAAATACAACTTTCTTTTCTTTATAAAGCTCTGACTTGTATTATAAGTATGAGTCTGTGGTCTGGGAGAGAGTCCTGTAACTCTGTCTGCAAAATACAGTGTATAATGACCAATGTTGGGCAATTAATTATATAGTTGTTTTCAAAAAAGTAACTGAGTTTTGCAAACAACAAAGGTTTTTGCAGCTGTTTACCTAAAAATGCAGCCAAGGCGGTTTTTTAAATAAACATTTCAAACTATTTACAGAACAATCAGCTGTTCTGCATCAAATTTGATGCCACACAAATTATTTGTGCCACTCCAAAAATAATTTCTGTCCACTATGAGCTAAAGGAGAAAAACAGCCTGATACCTGCAGGCCTGACAACAGGAGATGTATCACTCCTGTATCACCTGTAACATTCAGCAGTCGCCTCATTGTTCTGACACACACAACAAAACCTACACTACACACTAACTACACAAGATTTGCGCTAAACGTCACAAATATCTCACATATCAAAACACCGCCGTCACTCCTAAAACTTCCCCCTTCCTAAACAATAAATGCCATGTTGCCATATTATTTTTTTGATTGGTGACATGGTACATTTTTCCACCAACAGGAAAGGGTGGGGTTTTTTTGGTTTTGTTTTTGCTCACAGGCGGAGAGTGCTTTCGAGCGTTTTACTTATAAAACGCTGTTTTTACTGTTTCTTCCCACAGTAAATATAAACAACGACAGTATTCAGGAAGAAAACCAAACATTGCATATACTTTTATCATAACTCTGATTTTACGTGGCCTATCAACACGATTTAAAAACTGGTGTAAAGTCCACACTTTCTCCGTCAATTGTTCCGTCTGTCCTGCTCACATCTCCAATTGTTGTACATGTTGTCATTAACGTGGCTTCACTCCACATCAGCCACGCCGCTTTGCTCGCTAAAACACCGGTGTCGGCACATAAGGACGCTGTCGTAGCCTGTCAACAACGTTGATTAGCTGCATATGAATGTAAATCGCATTTTTGGCTGGACTATGGGATAAGGTGGCATTGTTGTAATCCCATACGGGAGCAGCCAGTCACTCACTGACTAACACTGCAAAACAGAATTGTTAAAGTCTTAATTTTAATTTCAATTCAGGTAGATATTTTTTTTTTTGGTGCGCAATGCAGATTTTCTGTGCGCAGAGACCGTGTCAGCAGTGCGCAATTGCGAATGCGCGCAGCTTAGAGGAACATTGGAGAAAAACTACACCGACAGTATATACTGATTATTTGTGGGATTCCACCTGGCTCTCTCCTTGGCCCTTCACATTTGTAGTTTAAGGTGCAATGTTGGTTCTCTGTGCCACTGTGGGCACCAGAACAAATTGAAAAACATGAAATGTTACATACCATCACTCTGTTAAAGCATGCTGCCTCCTTAAAACCAAGCAGAAACGTCTGGGCTGAAAAATGAAGCCAGTGGTGAAGTACCAAAAATTGCAGATCTTCTTTTTGCAGATCTATTCTAGCCTGAACAAATGCCAGGAAACCAACCAAATAATTGCATGCACTGCCATCAAAAATAGAACAGGCAACAGTGTACTACAAAAGTACGCTGCACAAAAGCACCACTAACATAGTATAAAATTATTTATACAAATTTAAATCATCTTAAGATATGAAATAACACAGAATAGAAGCGATACTGCAAATACCGAGTTTGTCATTTTCTATTTTGCTGGATTTACTTATTATGTAAAACTAGACTCTGATTTAAATTTTCCACAACAAGAAATTGCTCATTGCTGATTTGAAGTCTCCCAAGAAACCAAAAAACAATGGATTAGTACATTTCTGGTTATAACAGGTATTTGAGGTTTTCCGTAATACTGCTACCTGTTTTCTTTTCCAGACTTTTTTTCATATCATCAATAGAAAAACAGGAAAGGAAATCTCCACATGTTTTCATGCCGATGCCCTGGTGGTTTTTCACCACATCAACGCCTATGAGGATGACGGCCATGTGGTGTTTGACCTGATCAGCTACAAGGACAGCAACCTGTACAACATGTTCTACCTGGAGAACATCAAAAAAGAGACTAGCAACTTCATCCAGAGCCATAAGAGCTTCTCCCCACCATCCTGCCAAAGATTTGTTATTCCGCTCAACATCAACAAGGTATAGTTAGTATTTAGTGAAGATTCACTCACACTTACATTCTATTTCATCAATAAATAACAATGTACCTGTTCTTCAGGAGTCTCCCAGGGGATCTAATCTGGTGACTCTGACTGACACAACGGCTCAGGCAATTTTGCAGGAGGACGGATCAATCTATTGTCAGCCAGACACCCTTTTTATAGGTTAGTCATCCACAAAGTGACTGTCATTAAACGCTGTCTGATCCACCTAACGAGTCTGATTCCTCTTGAAGGTTTGGAGCTGCCTGGGATCAACTACAAATTCAACGCTAAAAAGTACAGATATTTCTATGGGTCCAGGCTAGAGTGGTCTCCTCATCCCAACAAGGTGAAGCAACATTATTGATTATCGATTTATTAAATCAATTACATTGCTTTTGGGGTGAACAATTATACATACATGAACCACATTTCCATGTAGTTAACATTGGACACCAAATGTGATTTTTTTCCTAAACATTTATCCTTCTATCTTCTGCTTCTTATTGGGGCCTGGGTCATAAGGGTAGGAGTCTAAGCAGTTGAGCTCTCGCTCTACTGGCCACTACCTTCATCCTTCCTAGGGGGAATATCAAGCTTTTTCCACACCAGCTGAGAGAAATATTCTCTCCAGCACGACCTGGTTCTGCCTGCTGGTCTATTCCAAGTTGGGCATGCACCTAGAAGCTTTTTTGCCCAGGATGCATGACTAAACCACCTCAATTAGTTCCTTTTAATGTGGGCATCCAAGCTCCCCACTCTTTCTGGAGGTGAGCTCAGTTGTCACTTGGAGGAAGCTCATTTCAAATAATCAAGCTTTTAAATTGTCAAAATGCATCCATAAAGCATCTGAAAATGAAATTTCATGGTAATAATGAAGCAGCTAGTCTAAGACATGAACCCCAAAGTCCTGAGTTTGACCAGTTTTACGCCTGAAAAAATAATGGTCTGGATTTTGTTTTTAAGTAGGATTCCCTTAAGATCAACTTGCGTAAAATGCAAAGCCAGAGACAAAGCATTAACCAGCTCCTTCTTCCAGCCTTAAATGACCTATATGCAAGCAGGACAAGACAAGCAAAAGATTTTAATAAGCATTCAAATGAATTAAAGCAAGGTCCCTCCAATTTAAATGTACCCAATTTCATTGATTAATTATGGTCCAGGCCTCCATTTCAACATCGGAAACAGGGGGATGGGGGTGGGGGCAGCTTTGGGTAAAGTTTTGTAAGTTTTGTAGGAAAATTGAATTGAATATCAGTCAGTAACACAAATTCTGTTTCTTTACATGAAAACGACAATAGGTATCTTCAAGTGCTAGAAACAACTACGACACTGGCTGTATTTTATGCACTATAACTTCCACAGATGCACATATGAGGATGAACAATCTTAATCTTAATCTTAGACTAATCAAACTAAATCATTCAGTCAGCATTTTCAAACAAATAAAGTGAAAACGTCAGTTACTGTTGGCCTAGTATGGTGCTGAATACTCAAATCTGTGAGGACAGTGAATGCCTGAACCAAAATTAGGATGATCTATTCTAAGGTTGTTGAGGTCTGCTACTTTAACACTATGACCCAACAGATCGCCAAGTTTGACATTGTTGAAAGGAAACACGTTGAATGGGTGCAGAAAGACTGCTATCCTTCAGAGCCAGTGTTCGTCGCATCTCCCGGAGCTGTGGAGGAAGATGATGGTGAGAGCTACGCTGTCAAGCACACAAACTTATATATTTAGAAACCACAATAATGGTTGATGTGCATAGAGCAAAATGTGTATTTCCATTGTATCTTTTCCTTATCCAGGAGTCATCCTGTCATCCATTGTTTCTGCGGATCCCAGCATTTCTCCGTTCATGCTCGTGCTCGATGCCAAAACGTTTAAGGAGATCGCCCGAGCCTCCATCCCCACCACTGTCCACATGGACCTCCACGGACTTTTCATTCCCGCTGCTGATTCATCATAGAATTGAATCTTTTAAGTAAAGTAGACAATGAAGTCAAACTTATTTTTATAAAACCTTTTAAGCAATGTCCAGTGTTAACAGTGGACACAAAAAATCTACTGTTACTCGCTTTACCTTTGCTAATCTTAAAGCACTTTAAAAGACAGGTTTAGGGGAATGTATAGCATTAAAAATGCAAATGAAGTGAGATCAGCAATGTTTGAAAATCTCATTATAGCTGCACAAAGTTTCCACCTCAGTCACGTGTAGAAACTTTTATGGTAAGTTAACATTTTTTTTTATTTCCAGAGATTTTATTTCGTAACATAAAAATGTTGAGAAATTAAGCATAAAACACAATTACTTTAATACATAAAAGCTCTAACTACTCAACTTTTAGACTGAGATATGTCTTCTCATGCAAACAACAAACTTACTGTTTGCTGCCCTAATTTAAAACCTAATGACCCGAGGGGTCTCAAGAGAAAATGGCTACTGTGTGTTATGTTGTTATGATGTCCCAAATTAACCAACACGAGATACTCGTCAGACCCCAAATATTGCCCTGTGGTTGGGTGCCCCCACTAATCAGTCAAGTTTTCCTCCATGTTTCCTTTTGAGGTGTTATTTCCTATTCTTCGTCGAAATCAAGAGTCTAAGGATGGAGGCTTTTGTTGGCTGTACAGATTTGTATTTTGTGATACAGAGCTATATAAATAAACTAATCTGACTTAAATGTAAGTTATTTTGTCTTTTTTTCCTTCTGCTGTGTTTCCATATTATTTATGCATGACCATATTTTGATATTTGCCAATACAGTTGATCATGATTGAACAGTAAGTTATAGTCACAACAGCACCTGATGCTTCATTTATTGATAATGTGGTGAACTGTTCATCCATGATGCAAATCTCCCGTTCCAACACATCCCAAAGATGCTCTGATGGTTGTAGAGGCCATTTAAGTAGAATGAAGTCCTTGTCGTGTTCAAGAAACCAGTTTGAGATGATTTGAGCTTTGTGCTATCATGCTGGAAGAAGCCATACAGGGATGGTCAGCAAAAAATATTCACGTAGGCTGTGGTGTTTAGAAAAAGTGCCAAGGAAATAACCCCATGCCATTATACCACCACCAGTCTGAACCTTTGATATAAGGAAGGATGGATCCATGCTTCCATATTGCTCAAATTCTAACCCTGCCATCTGAATCTCACAGCAGCGTGTCTCATCAGAGCAGGCAACAGTTTTTCCAGTTTTCCCGGTCTGTCCCCCTGTCCCCTTCTGGCTGCCTCTGCCTCAATTTTATCCCACAACTTAGACATTCACATTACTCACACTCTCATTACACATACATATAGGATCTTGGGGGTGGGCACGATACACGGAATCCAAATTACCATCAGGGTGTACACCTCACCCCTGGCGTCGTTGCCCACCTCTCAGTTTTAAATACACGTAGACATTGAGGGCTAGCAGGAGGGAGCATGCGCTTACCTGCTGCTCTCTGGCAGGTAGCTCCATGCCCTCCTGGGTTTTAAATGCACCTTAGAACACACATGCATCAACATTACAATGAGCGGGTGGAGGGAGGTTTGGAGTCTTCTCTCACCCCCATTCTCTGCGACCTGCTGGAGCGGGGGGGCTAGGAGGAGGAGTTGGCCGTCCGACTGCGGTCTGGAGTGTGGGGCCTCCCTGCTGCTGTGGAGCATGAGGGTGGGAATGGATGTTTGTGTCTGTGTGTGCCTATTATAAATAGATTGTAAACATTAATTTTGATTCTTTCATTAGCACACTTACTTGTTTAAGAGTACAACATTAGAAGTGTTTTAATTGAACAGGACGAGCCCTGATTTAGACATGGTGGCCTGCCCTGTTACAAGCATTCATGCTTCCATTGGTTCATTATGTGTTAATTCTTTTGGTCATCTCTGGGTGTTTTATATGCGGTGGCAGCTGAAACAAATAAAATGCAGGGACTTTTTTCCCCTCCTGGGTGCTTTGTCTTTGTTATGGTCAGTTTTTCCTTCAGAGGTAGATATTTTTATTTCCATTCCCTCACCTTCATTTCAAGTTTCAGCAATTGCTCTCCAGGAATTTGACAGTTTTGAATCCTTATTTTGATGCTATAATGGTTACTCTATATGCTGGAGAATGATTGATCCTCTCACTGATCAATTCAAAAACTGCAGTAAAAAAAAAAAAGGAAATGCAAAGAAGACAGACGGCACTGAACAGGTGTATAGTTACATTTTCAGGAAGGTGCACATCAGGTTATACCATGAGGTTTCAGAGGGGTTCCCAGTTATGACATCGCTACAATGTACATTTCCTGCTGAAGCATAAACCCTCAGTAACTCACTGGAAATGTGACTGCTTGGCTAGCAGCACAAGATTGTAAATGTTTTCAACCATTCAATCCTCTGACCACTTGTGAGGCTAATAAGTCACCATCTACAGTGAAAACAATCACACATAAAACACAAAACAGTGCAACAATAATTTCAATACCTGATAAAGATCAGCTGCTTTTAGTTAGCTAGCACTGAGTTAGTTCCGACACCACTGGTACTAATTAAGCGTCCACTCCAAGATAAAGACCACTGAAGTAGGATGTACACCAGCCTTCATGCAACTTTTTAACCATTAGTTAGAATATACGATCAGAAAAGTCCCACGTATCAAACTTGTACACTTATATTAAGAATGTTCTGCAAACAATACAGCATCATTTTGAAAGGAAAACAACAGTATTTTTAATTCTAATAATTATTTTTAATTACTTTATTTTGGCATCAGCAGACTTCCATATAGACAGATTTGTATCTTTAGTGTTTGTGGCACACATGAACCGAAAACTCTGCATGTTTCGTCAGAATCATGGGAATTTATTACATCAGCAGTTGCAGCAAAAACAGTTTAAAATCTGTCATTCACCCCACCATCCCACGCCACCCTGGCCTCCCAACATGGCCGCCGAGCAGGACAGCAAAGAGAAAGTCAACTCTTCAATGTCTGTAAAGTCGGCGCCGTCCTCACTGATGCTGAAAGAAGAAACAGAAAAACTGTTTCCCTTTTGAGGCCTGGCGCTGCACAGCACAATCCCACAATGCACCTGTTCAGGTGGCACATCAGCCTCATTAAGCTCGTGAGCCTCAGTCTGGGTAAGAAGGGGCGGAGCCTGGGATACGAAGCAGCAGCCACATATCAGAGCAGACAACAAGAAGGAAAAAAAAACCAAAAACGTTGATGCTGAAGAACAGGCACGTTGGAATACTGTGTGTGTGTGTGCGTGTGTGTGTGTATTATGTCTAAACTATCACTGTTTACAACAGTGGAAAAAACTGTTCGTTTCTCACAGAAAAACACTGTCACGTCTTTTATCTGCTTTTTTTTCTCTTTTCAATTTTTTCTCTTTGTTCCTCCGTTGGTCGCTGCCGCTGCCTTGTCGTCTAATGGAGGAAGAGCGAGTGTGTGTCTTTGTAGTTCAGGTCCCTCAGATGATCTCAAAGGTCTTCTTCAGCTCCATGATCAACTGCCAATCAGATTTCTGCATCTCGTCTCTGAACCAGTTCTTCAGAGCGTCGATGGACGCCCGTGTGATCTGAAACAAAAACAAAGAGGTTGTTAAAATAACCAGAAACAGCCTTTCATTCTTTGCTCTAAAAGCTCTGAGCCCACATTTAAGTTTGCCTGCTGCTACAACCATTTTTTGACAGTAAAACCAAACAGAAATTAAAGTGAACACAACGTAAAACTAGTTTAAACACAGTTGAAAAACAGCACCAGGTTTTATTTCACTGTCTGGACGTCTCTGCTTTTGTTGTACAGAAAACAGAAAGACTACATGAAATTCTTGGCCTGACTAACTCGAAAGACACGAAGATATTCTTACCCTTCCTCTCCTTCTTTCCCCTTATTTAGCCTCTATTTAGGCTCGTTATTTCTTCCTTGCTTTTCTGTCTCCTCTTCCTAACACTGCTACCTGGACACTGACTGAAATCGACCTTTTAGCGGCGGAGTGAACAGCAGTGTTCACGGTAATTGTGATTTTTATGAAGCCTCTCGTCTAACGTTCTTCTGTTCCTCCTTTAAGGGCGTGTCCTCACCTTGCTGACGATGATGTCTGTGGCTTCAAAATGGCGCCCGTACATCTTTGGCGACTCTCCTGGGATTGGCTCAATCTTGATGCAGATCTCCTGGCCCTTCTTCGCACTGTCAACGGGCTTGTGATTTATCTCGATGCTGGTGACCACACCGATGTCCACAAACTGACATGTGAACACAAAGGGTTAGTTTACAGTTCATTTTATAATTCACACAAACATCCACAGAGACTGTAAGCGGGTCTTACCGCTTTGCTGGGGACGCAGAGGGGCGTTCCCTGTTTCAGGACTCCAGCCTCCACTGTGACCCCCATCACGATGGGATCTCGGGAGTTAAAGATGAACTGAGGAAGAACTCGCAGCTTCACTGGGAACACGGCAACATGCCTGATGACACAGATAAAAAACACATTAACCTTCGAACAACCCATAAGTGAAATTAATCGATCACAGTCACATTGTTACTGAAGCCTAATTATCACACTGATCTGCTCCATTTTCAGCGGCACGCTGGAAGAATGTGAAAATAAATCAAGAGCATCATCTGCATATAAACTGACTTTTACAACCAATAATAACAAATAGAATCATCTACAAATGTATTATAGATCATTAAAAAACGCATAACAAAACACAGGGTTAGTTAAACAGAAGTTATTCTGTGAAAGGACACCATCATATATTTGCATATATACAAAAAAGGCTTATTAGCTGCAATGGACAAATAAAAGCCTTTTGGACTCCATCAACTATTTAATTAGAGTTTTTCACTATGTTATAGTATGTTGCTTGTTATTCCAGTCAATAAAAAGTCAAAAACACCCAAAGAAATCTGAACAATTAACACAAACGTGAGCTTTTCTTACCTAAACTCGTCCTGTTTGGCCTTCTTGTAGTCTTCTCTGTACTTGGTGAAAGCATCAAATAGGTGGTAGATGATTTCAGCAGAGAAGATGCGAACTCCCAGACTGTCAGCCATCTCCTGACTCTCCCGCTCCACCTTCACATCGAAGGCCAGGATCACAGCGTACCTGCCAACACCAACCCCCCAAAACTCTGTCACATCTACAGGTTCTACACCAGTGCTCCACCAGTACTAATTTCAACAGAGATACAAGGACGTCTGTGAAATGTATTCAGATTTTTTTTTTTTGGATCATAAAATATTTTAATAGTTGTCCCAAATATTTTTAAATTAAAATTAGCCAGATATTTGTGGGTGCAGATTCTACAGTGTTTCTGCACTAACTAACTTGTGTTCATTTTGGCTGAGTGTGTGTTTATACTGTGACGTACTGCGGGTCGTGCTCCAACATGGTTGACGCCTTCATCACATCCTTCTTATGAACTGGGCCAATGTTAATGCCAGCGTACTGCAGGGACACACACACAGAGTTCAAAGGTCAAGGACTGTTAGTTTCTACTTCCTGTAGATTTTCAAAATAAGAGCTCTCAGCTGTACTGTCAGGTACTTACAGGGACTTTGGATGTCCGCAGGAACTCGAGCAGAGCCTCCAGCGATCCCAGCGTCGATGCCTGGACGTAAACACCTTTCTCCTCCAGTTTGATGGAGCTCAGAGTCTGCTTAAGCTCTCGCACCAGTTCATCCTGAAAACCAGCACG